AATACTATTTTTGAGTCCCGACTCTCAATTCCCGTCGATTTTTGAACTCCGGCCTTCAAAACTCCGCTGTCATTTTGAACACAATGAGCATTTTCCGACCAATTCTTCTTTCCCCTTCACAAAAATGCAGTCAGACTATTGGAGAAAAGCTATTATTCCTTTTCAAATGGGCCTCAGAAAAATCGTGCACTGCCTTGAGAAACGTCACTTTCAATCGCTAAAATGGATAGCTCCAACATCGTTTATCCCAGAATTTATGACTGATTTTTGAGCCTTTTGGGAGCCCTTTGGGAATGAAAAGTGGCAGTCGTTAAAAGGAAAGGGAAGGTTCTTACATCAAGGTACCTAGTCAGGATTTATTGGCATTTACCTGCAGCCGATAGGACTCCTATGCTGATTGCACTCGGGACCTTGGAGTTTCCTCGTATCTTCATCCATCCATAAGCATTACTTGTATATGAATTGTAGTTGTTTAGGCCTCTCCTAAGCTGAGCTGCCATTTTGGAACAAACAAGTAAACAGCATGTTCCCCAAGGACAAACCAGTCAAAATTCATTTACGAGGGTTGTTTTCCGTCCAAGAGGAGTGAGGGACAAAATGGATGCCCAAAAGCGACAAACATGGAAAAGGCTGTCCAGCCTCACCTGACGATGATGGGTACCCAGTCCTTGCTCCCGTAGCTTCTCAACCTTCCCCTTCATGATGAATCTTCAGGGAGAATTTTCTCGAATATTCCCAAAGAACCTCATTCCCGAGCTACTCCGATATGATCGGATATCTCAAGACGAGGGAACACATCGATGACGCCTATGACGCTGTTGGCATCTCTTTGAACAGGCTCTCATCCGTCCGTCAGTCCATCGCATCGCGATGTAGTAAAGTGTGTTGAGGTCGTAAGGGTTGAATGCACAGTTGGCAAAACGCCAATGAACATATCGCTCCCCTCATATCAAATTGACGCTGGAGAAAGGTTGAGAGAAGGCTTGGGAATCCACTTATTCCAGGAAGATGATGGGAGGGGGCAAGCAGCCTTTTTCCCTGATCATCTGACCGAATTCACTTCTCTATCTTTTTTTCAGTTGAAACTTCCTTCAAGGCCGACAGGTGGTCCAGCCCATCCAACAAAACCTCATTCATCAGTCAATAAATCAACTACATACTGTGATCGCTAGCGTTGTCGTTTGAAATCCATCGGTCGACTCTCTCAGTTTCGAACAACATTGGATGGGCTTGTCTTTGGTTCCCAGTCCTTTTTCAATAAAACGATGACCTTCGCCCAAAGTGGTTTTGTCGAGAACAGCACTCTGATGCCGTTTTGCATAGTCTGGATTGGCCACACTTCATTATGAAGTGGTCAGAAGTGCCAGTGAAAGAAACATCCGATAAAGAATGCCAGTCAATCACGAAAACCCAACGGAAGACTGCCCAAATACGAATGTCATGAAAGCTACTCTTGGGACCTGGAAGATTGTGTCCCAGAGGTTCGCGAGGGGGCCTAAGATTCCCAGCGGCGGTACAAGTATCACCAGACTGTTGGACACTGCTTTATCTTAAACTGACGATAAGGCAACAGACAAGACAACTGTGAAGGGTAGGTCATCACTCAGGCTATCCACCTATCTGCTCTATTGGGTATCGGCTCGGATATAAGGCTGAAATCGGGCTTCCAAGAGCAAAAGGGATTATAATTTTATCCTGAAAAAGGCCCACCCTTTTTAGTGCCATCCGTCGACTTTGTGGATAGTGTAAACATAAACAAACAAGGACTAGGATAGGTAAATGAAAGTACTCAGAACAAACTGTCAGCGCCACTGACCGGTTCGCCTGTACAAGACTAGAAACTCGATTCTATCTCAGCTAGGTCATTACCTTCCCACCAAACTACGCTAGGAAGTTGTAACAGAGGTGAGTTATAAGAGACTGTCGTAAGTAGTTTTCTAAGCTGCTCGATATCCTACTACACTTTCTTTCCTACAAACTAGTTTTCAGAATTTGAACCTCTACTGTACTCGAGTTTACCTACATACTTAACTCATTTCTGTCATATGGTAAGTTGTCGGTAACTTGTATGGGTCAATGACCAAAGTAGGCCGCCGAGGTATGTTCCATAGGTGTACGTGGTTCGTAGACCTGTGCAACTTCCCGACCAGCCACCATATGGCCGAGATCGGCGTCGGCATTTGTCGTCGTTGGACGTGGTCGTTTTTTATTGTTCCTTTAGAGCGTTGTAACACGATGTCGTCGTCGTCGATTTCGTCGATTCACGCGATTTCTTCCCTCATTCGATCGACTAACGCGATGAATGCCGGCCACGAGAACGACGTGCTGCTGCATTGCGGGGCTGGGGCTGCGGCGGCCGGCGACCATTACAATTCAGCGGAACAAGTCACTACACACAGCTGTACCCTCGTCGATTATGATTAAGACGTTACACAATGCTTGGCAGTCGGCACGACGCAGTAGCGAGCGGCGGCGATATTACGTCGACGGCCGGCCGACGGCGGTTCCGCGATCCACCGTCACAGAAATACGGAAACGCTCAGCCATAGCTGTTGGAACAAGCTGTGAATCACATTTGTCGTATCGGCAGTAACTCACACCTGCTAGGATTACGGTAAAGGCGAAGAACTAAAGGCACACCTGCATTTTCGTGGTTACGACTACGATCCTAACAATAGCGCCAACGAAAAAAGGTCAAAGATTCATGCGAATAAATATGCGTTGACGTTAACGATGCTGCCATGAATAGAGCAAACCGAAAGGTGTCAGAAGGTCCGAATTCCACTTTTGACAGAGCTTATTGTGGGTACTTTTAAAGCCACACGTCACAGCTCGAAAAAAACGAACGTGTGGCTTCGCACTCATGGTCTAATGATTCCTCTTTGGATTTCATATCGCCAAAGGTCCTGATCCAGTCCCAACTATAGGGTCCCATTAGCAGTCCAGTTCATTTGTGAGCAGCCTGGACATACCCTCTCAACAGCCAATCGTACCACTAAAAACTAGTCTGTTGGCAGTGAGTAGTCAAAGTGCTTCAAATGAAAAAAATGCCTACAATATTCGATGGCTTGACAAGGAGTCTAAGGCCTTTTTGGGAAAATGGCTTTTACTAGTAAGAAAGGAATGAATCTTTTTGAATGAAGAAAGAAATTCCTAGATCCGTTTTTTTTNTTTTTTTTATTTGACGTTAGGGCCGCAGGCATATCCTTCAGAAGGTCAAGAGTCTTCAAGTTGGAGGAGTACTATATTCGACACCTTTTCGTAACTTAAATAAGGCAGGTCAGAGTACCTTGAAGACTTCGGTTTTTTGCTTTTTGAGGTTCATAAGAAGGGACCATTCCAATTTAGTTCACGTTTGTTGACAAATTTAGAGGTATTGCTAATATTCGAAGTAAAAAGACGATTCATAAGATTTTACAATCTAAGCCTAGGATTCGGTTGTGAGAGACCCTGAACCGGATCCCAGGAAACAACTCGAACATTCCAGCTCAACGAACCCCCACCCGCGTCCATCCGACCAAGTTTGGGTGACCAGACGGCGTTCTGTAAGTCGAACGGCTTAACCTAACATAGACAACAGACTTGCCCGGTCAGTTCCTAGGCACACGACCAGCTGGCCTTCCTATACATCCCAATGACCTCCCAGCTGGGCACCTACACTACGGGAGCGAAAGAAACGAAATTGATTGTGGGAAACTACCTTTACTTTTGTTTTTTCTCAGTGCACACATCATCAGAAAGGTTGATTGATTACGAGACAGAACTAATTTGAAATGGAGTTTTTTCTGAATGAACGATTTATGGTGTTGCGTGGGTGAACAGGCCTAGGCCTTTCAGTTCATTTCAACTCGATCCCTTCAAAATGTTGAGCGTTTTAATGATTACAACATTTGGAAAAACCTATTTATGTTCTCAAATATTTAAGATTCGAGGAAAGTGAGTGGCATCCCAGTGGAGACGTTTTTCCTGACGGCCGAATGGGCAGCCGAGGCGCCAGCTGTGTCGCCAGTTAGGTTGTCAACATATGTGTAGCAAACTACTGGGGTGATCATCTGGCATATGTAAGAACCAGGGGGATTCCTCTGCTGGCGATTCTCACCAGAGAACAGATCCAAAACAGATTTCTCCTTCGGGAAGCCCAAATTGGGAGGGATCACCCTATGTCAGCCCCGCTCTCAGACCATCCCGGACAACTTGTAATCCGGGAGATTCGTCTCTGATTAGACATTCAACAATGAAACCTTCCGATCTGGATGCGGTACCGTAAAAACGCTTAATTAGTTGGCACAGCTGTCCCTATCACAAACAGAACCGCCGGTCGGGGGATAACTGATTTGCATCCCTGAACTGAAAGGATATCGATCATGGAATCGGTCGATAGGTACCCGATTACAATGCTCTCCCATGCTTTCCATGTCGTTCCCCCATGCTCCCAGTTGATAGGTAATTCTGCCAGGCAATACTCCCGGGAAATACCCACTTCTTTCCTTTTTCCATCATTTTGCATTAAATCGACCAGGGGATCGTTCGATCCGGTATAGGGTTAAAATGCAGTTCTCCCAAACTGTAGATTTCCTGATAGGTGAATTTTCTGAGTAGAATGCTCCCGGGAACCACTTACTTGTGCCTTTTTTCACTCCAATTTTGTATTTACTCTTGAATGACGCTTCTTAGCTTGTTCTGAATATGTTTTCCATCTGGGAAGCGACTCAAATTCTATAATGAAGCTAATTCCTGGGAGAGTGGCCTAATTCAAAAAGTGCAAGAAAAGACCCTGCTGCTATTTTAAGATCTATCAAGAATGGGTTACTACTGAAAGAGAAATTTCGAAGTATATGGTATAGCAAACACTTCAGAAAGTACAGAAGTGGCCATAGGTCGAGCAAAGACTTGGGAACGACCATAAGAACAACTAAGGTAGGGACAGGAGAAAAACAAACAGTGCTGAGACAGAGAAAAATCGGAAAACGACATCAACTGAAACGGAAATCGAAGACCATTCAGAAGAACTGACCTTGCTCTCGAGAAATCGTCGGCTTATACCAGTATTTGGAGGTGTCCTTAACGAATACCGGATGATGATGAATGATCTCGGAGGTATCTGAACGACAATCAATCAATAATCCATAAAATTTAATCGATACTTTGCATTTTAAAGTTGATCCCATTGGTCACGATATCACCTAGAATGACTGACTTGCTCGTTATCGAGGCAATCAGTTCTAATCAATTACCAATCGATAAAATGTTTTAGGAACGCCATTGCCCAACACATGCTATTCCCCGCAGTAAAGGGGAAGGTGAGCATTGGCCTGGGTCGACTCTGGCCCTTAGTGTATGAATGAAGGCTATAGATCAATCCGAAAACCTACTGCTTTTCTTCAACACCGGTGGCGGAAGTGCTGACGGAGAGGATGTGCCAGCATCGGATTCTTTAGTTTCCTGTCCAGCCGATTCATGCTTTGGCCCATCAGCTGAGTTCGAACTGTCGGTCCCGTGTAGTACAGGGGTTTCGTCCAAGTGGGTAGGACTACGTAAAACTGATGACCGCTCCGATGAACAACCGGATGACTCGGATGAGGCAAGCGATACATCCGAGATGTCACGCGATTTCAATCGAAGCACTACGGCTTCCGATGGACCGGCATGACAAGCCATTTGGAAATGGAAGCAGCTCTGGTGATGATGTGAGACGATCAATGGGATTCAGAAGTGGGGCTAGAAGACGTGAGGAGGATCGGCAACGCCAGCGGAAAGGCGTCCAAGGCGAGTGAAGCTTGAGGCCACGCCCACATGAGCGCGGGAGAGTGTGGGTATGTGAAACGGCGGCCCTCCCACCTATAGAACAGAACGTGAGCGAAAAGTTTGATGAAATCGAATTGAAATGGGGCGTTGACAAATGAAGTACAGGGTTTTCCTATGTGGGGGAAACCTGTTCTGTCGACGCTGTTCCAAAGTAAAATATGGGAAAAACTTGAAAGACAGCAAGTGTTCTTACAGTATTACGAGTTTGGGAGGTTTTGGTGGCCACTCTGAAACGACATCAGAAGGGTGTCTTTTCTATTTTCTTTTGGCTGAGGTTTAAACTAAACGATGGAGACGATGTATGCGCTGGCTGAGCCGCTTTTTTTTCTGACGCCTGCGTGTTCCGCAGCAGTTCCCTGATCTTTGGACAAAATCCCATAAGAACGAGCATTTGTTGGGAAATAATCTTCACAGCTGTTCTAACTGTTAAACGTTTTTCATAACTGACAATCGTTTCATGGGGTTAACCTCGATAATCCGTGGGTGCTCCCAGAGGTACCAGAACGCGCATGAACGGCATCCGGATGCTGCTACAATGCGGCTATACATAATGATCCCGCCTCTAATGGTCGTCTTGATATGCGCCATGTTTCCGAATTTCATTAGAAATCAAATATGTATGAGATGTATGAGATGGCTTACATCCGTTCTCTATCCACCAATTCAGTGGCAGACGATGGGCTTAAAGGGATAGCTTGGATGGGTTCAGGTAAAGTTTGAATTACCAGGTAAGGGGATTATCAGGACTCAGGTTTTTGAATAGTAACTGTAAGTTAACCCACCCTTTCGTCACCAATTCGAAGGTCTTGAAAGAGAACGGTATCTTCTGCCTTCCCAGTTTAGCTTTCCGACCAAATTCCCAGTAATACTCTTAATACTCAGGCTCATTGCTCATGACTACTTCAGGAACTCCTAGCAGATCCCCAAATAGGAACCTTCACGACCTCGAAGTCAAACCCTGGTATGAGTCGCTCTTGAAGGAAAAAACAAGAAATTCAGAAGCAGTCCACCCAGATGGGCGAGCAGGACAGTCTTGTTCATCATTGGAACTGATCAATTTAAAATTTTTAAGTCC